TAACGGAAGGCGTTGTATAAAATGAACCTATCATTTGTTTGCATCCTTTGTTCACATTCATCTATTCTCGTTTTGCAATCATCTAATGTTTTCGGTTGCACACTTAGATCAGACAGAGTCCTGATTAAACCATGAGTTGCTGGTTGCCACTTCTCATGTAACTCCTTAATAATTTCTGATTCCTGACTTCCACTGCTAGTTCTTTTTCGTTTAGTCTTTTTAATAGGCACATTGAGAAATGATATTCTGGGTATTTTAGGGATATCATCTGTGTTTATCTCCGGGAAAGCAGTTTCTAGCTTTCTCATAACTTCACTATTCATCAAGGAAACATACACATTATCGTTGTGTTTAAGACATCTTACATACAGATCTATCCAATACTTCGCGTATCCATGTATTGCTTCATTTACGATTTTTACCATATGGTCTGTGTCGTCAGTGCCTAAATAGTTCATATTTTGAAAAACAAAAAAGCTTTCTTTAATTCTGTCATAGTCTATTAATTGAACAGAATCCATCTCCATTTGTTAAAGTAAAGATTATTAATGTGTCCACTAACAAGTTTGGCCTCTAACTGGCTAGCTACTTCTAATGATGGAGTTACTTTAGGCATCCACATTGAAACATGTGATATTTTAAATTTTCCGTCATCAATATTACTATCTTTTAAAATGTAGTTAGCTGTGGCAGCCCTATCGAGTTGTAAAGTATGTTTAACACCTCTAAATACTGTATCGACATCTTTACAGAATCCAAATATAGAACTTAGAGGTATTAAAAGTGATATTTGTTTATCACCTGTTAATAGTTAATAGAAATTACTATGTGTGAATATTAGTTGTCACCTCTTTAAGTATACTATAGTGCACAGAGTCTACAACAAGTATGATTAGGCTATTAATAAAATTACAATTAACGAGTACCTAATAAATAAAGATTAACAACTAATAAAATCTTAATTACTGAAAATAACGCTACGATTAATTTACGGAGTCTGTACTTCGTCACAGGTATGCATTCTAGACTTAGGTTCTGCAGCGAAGCAGCAGAAAGAAGTAAGATATTAAATTAGTGCTTGCGAATTTTATCCAAATGTTTTTAAAATGCTACATACATAAATTTCACTTCATTGACTACATCATTGCATACAATACCGATTGGGATCTTACCATCGTACTTAACCAGAACATGCATCGCTTTAGTATTCATAGATTCTCTCATAAAAAATTGCCAATCACTAAAAGTCACCACAATTTCTTGCGTTTTCTCCGCTGTCTTTTCTTTGAAAGTTTCAACACTATGTGGATCATATACCATTAATTGCTGCACCACTTTCTCAACTTACTCTACGAATT